TAACAAAATAAGATGTTAATAAAGTTTTATCTTGAAGATCTAAATTCATAGATCTACAATCGATTTCTTCTATTTTTGGCAAGTTAGGTACCTGCACTTGACATATTTCATTAAATAATAAAGGAAAATCTATTGTATTTTTTATACTAAAACAATCTGAATGATGAGTATTAGATATAGCATAGGAGATAGCATAAGTTATCGAATATGGTCTCTTTTGTTCTTTGAAAAAATCTCTTCTTTTAAAATCTTGTAATAAACTTAAAGTTTTATCATTTTTTGTCCCCATGGGTCAGGTATCTTAGCAAAACATAATAGCAAATAAGCATATGTATTAGGCACTTGATTATATATATGGTAATAATAATCTTGAAAGACACATGTATATATCTATCAGTTTCACACATATCACATAATTGTAATCTTAACAATGTTGTAGAATATTTTTTAATAGTATGGAAATCTTTTAAAATATTTCTTTCACCACAAAATTCTAATCTAAAGGCTTCTACAGATCATGTTATTATATTTGCTGCTTCATTATCGGTTCCAAATATGGTTTCTTTAACCGTTAAATCTAAATTTTGTCAATATCTTAAAGCGCTATTTAATAATATTCTTTCTAAAAATCCTCTTATAGTGTTAATATCCATTTTGTTTACTGAAACTGTTGTTCTAAAAGTTGTTTCCAATTTATCAATTTCTTCTTCTGTATTACTAACACAATCTAAATCTAAATCTAAATCTAAATATATTCCAAATGGATTAATCAGTTCATTTTTTATACTTTCAAAAGGTTTATAATTTTCTTCTTTTCTTATCGTGTTCATTATTGCAGCATATCCTTGAGTGTGTCTATTAAATTCTCTTCTTATAGGTATCTGATTGCTAGTGCAGGGGAGTATTAACACTAGGTATCCAATTTTCTTGTTTTGTCTCTGGTTTTATATTTATGAAATTATCATTAATATCCATATCTCCTATTTGTGTTATTAAATTATCTATATCTGATTGTGTTTCACTTTCTAATTCTGAATCAGATTTCATTATTTTTAATAATTTCCACCGTATCCTTTTGGTATTTTAGCTAAAATAGCATCTCCACACCATTCACTTAGTTTATCTCTAATGTGTGTTATCCTTTTTCCTAAAGTGTCTCAAAATCCTGGATCATATGTATTTCTATTAAATCTTTATCTATTTTTAAAGGGTGATCATCTTCCTTTGGTAATTGTAGTTTTGGTAGAGATCTACAATATTCTTTTATCTTTTTTACTTGGATTTCTAAACTTTTATCAAAACTAAAGATTTTATTTTTCTTTAGTAAATCTTGGAAGGGTTTTCTTAAATTAACTTGATAATCTAATACTATTTCTTTTGGTTGGTATTTTAATAATGGTGTTCCTTTAGAAAAAATCGGTTTTGAAGTGTATCCTATATCACCATGTTGGGCTGTGCGTTTTTTAAAGAGAATAGACAATTTTTTGGCATACGCTCTCTTTATTCTATTTACCACTATTAAGTGATGACATGGTGTTTTAAATATCATTTTAAAACCAACTATGTCAAATGTTATTTTATTAAATCTTTGTAAAAAGTTATTATCTAATAGGATATCTAAACCTGTATTATGAAAGTAAAAGGAGGGCACCTGGTTTTTCGTTGAGGGAGGCAAAATAGAGAGATTAATAGATTATAGGCATACTATGTTTATGCCGACATATTTAGAACACCAACAAGATCTTTATCTTCAAACTCTTTATGAGAATAACTATATAAATACTGATAATTATGATAATTTTGAAAACGATTTCGAAAATGATTTTGAAAATTATATCTCTGATGAAGATTTTACATATGATCGATATGAGTTTACAAACTCAGATTATATAGTAAATGATTCAGATTGGGATATAATTCACCTTGATGGATAAAAATAATTTTATTCATTTAAAAGAAGATGATCACCCTTTAAAAATAGATAAAGATTTAATAGAAATACAACAAACTATTATTTTTTATGAAGAATATATACTTTTAGAATTAAATAAATTAGAGACTTTAATAGTCAAATAGTCAAAATAAAAAAGTTAATCATTTTGATGATAATAAAGATCAAATGATAAAACAATTACTTATTAATATGAAAATACCGAAAGGATACGGTGGAAATTATATAAATAATGAAATCTGATTTAGAATTAGAAAGTGAAACACAATCAGATATAGATAATTTAATAACACAAATAGGAGATATGGATATTAATGATAATTTCCTAAATATAAAACCAGAGACAAAACAAGAAAATGGATACCTAGTGTTAATGATACCCCCGACACTAGCAATCAGATACCTATAAGAAGAGAATTTAATAGACCCACTCAAGGATATACTGCAATAATGAACACGATAAGAAAAGAAGAAAATTATAAACCTTATGAAAGTATGAAAAATGAACCGATTAATCCATTTGGAATATATTTAGATTTAGATTGCGTTAGTAATACAAAAGAGACAATTGATAAATGGGAAACAGCTTTTAGAATAGCAGTTTCAGTAAACAAAATGGATATTAACACTATAAGATGATTTTTAGAAAGAACATTATTAAATAGCGCTTTAAGATATTGGCAAAATTTAGATCCAACGGTTAAAGAAACCATATTTGGAACCAATAATGAAGCAGCAAATATAATAACAAGATCTGTAGAAGCCTTTAGATTAAAATTTTGTGGTGAAAGAAATATTTAAAAGATTTTAATACTATTAAAAAAATATTCTACAACCTTGTTAAGATTACAATTATGTGATATGTGTGAAATTTATATATATATATATATATATATGTGTGTGTGTGTGTGTGTGTGTGTGTGTGTGTCTTTCAAGATTATTATTACCATATATATAATCAAGTGCCTGATACATATGCTTATCTGCCATTATTTTTTGCTAAGATACATGACCCATGGAGACAAAAACTGATAAATACATATGATCCAAGATTTAGAGACACTTTAGGAAAATGGATAACACACATTAGAGATAAACTAAGTGAATGGTATGGGGATGCTATTTTAGCTAAAATGACAAAAGGATTAAAAGGAAAAATATATTTATATTGTGATAGACCAAAAATGTCCTTAATTATAGGATGTGATAGTTCTTATTATTATAAAAAGATAAAAAAGAAATATAAAAAAAGAAGTCAATACAAAAGGAGATTTTTTAAAAAGAGAGACAAAATATTACAAGAAAAAAGAATATAATAAAACATATAAGCCTACATTTAAAAGAAAACAAAAACCAAAAGAATATCGATGTTATTATTGCAAAGAGATATGACATTATGCTAATAAATGTCCCAAAATATTTAATAAAAATACTAAGAAATTTGAAATAGATGAAGATATTGAAAAAATGATAAATGATGGAGATTTTATTCAAATTAATGATTTTCAAAACATAGATTCTGATGAAAGTATATTTATATTAACTGATACAGAATATATTTATTCCAAAAATGAATAGATTGGAAATTTCTTCTGCAAGTTCTTCTAACCCAGTAATCGATTTTCAAGATGAACAAAGAGGAGAATATAGACATGAAATATTGATAGATAAGAAAATGTTGAAACAAATACAACGTGAACACTTTTCATTATCTAATTATTCTGGATTTAAAATAAATATATTACAAAAGTTGGGGATAAAACACAAAAATCACCATTTATTTTATGGATTAAACATCCAAGAAAGGACATTAAATATAGATATGACATGTACTAAAGTAATGATACCTTTATTGTCCAAAAAAGACATATAAACTAAACTAAGTAAAATAAAACTTGAAATTAGAGATATATTAGGATGGGTGCACATAGACATCTCAATTGATTGAGTTGCATTAGTTATACAAATGAACATGGTTGTATTTGAAATATACCCTATATATATAGGCTCATTCAAGAGAGATCTGACTAGTTGTGGTAATCGTGAGATCCAATCTCAATCACAAACCAATAAATAAATTAAAAAAATTATAATTTTGGTAATTTTGAATTAAAATTTTAATGCAATGACATTTTAGGTATTTTCTCTCATCTCTTCTCTTTCCATCCCCCGTCCTCCGGTGATACCACTGTGATACCTAAAAATAGACTGTTAAACAAAAAGACAGTGTGATACCTAAGCACATATAAGATGCATTGTGATACCATTGTGTTACATCTCCGATCAACCACACAAACAACCTCAGTGTGATACCCAAAGCACATATAAGATGCATTATGATATCACTGTGGTATCATCAGAGGACAGTGGCCGGAAGACGGAGAGAGGCAAGATGAAAGAAAATACCTAAAATGTCCTTGCAGAATTCAAAATTACCAAAATAATAAATTTCCTAATTTATTTATTGATTTGTGGTTGAGATTGAACCTCACGGTTACCACAAACTAATTAGTTCTCATTTGTTCTAAAAATTAACCATAGAAGGGCAAATGGGAAATCCAAATTGCTTTTTAAAAGATCATTTGACAATCAATTACCATTAGCAATTATATTTTAGAATTTGAACAATTATTTTAACCTTATAATTATTTTTTATACATAACAATTATTATAACCAAAAAAAAAAAGCAATTGCATCATCAATCCACAATCTGGATCGTCTTTTGTTTTATCCAGATATTAAATGCAACCTAATAGACCAAGAGATTTCTTAATGCATCATTGTTGCAAAATAATATCAGGCTATATATTATACTCATATACTCCCACCATTATAACCAAAAAACAAAATTACGATACAAACAACTAGTAAAAGAGCATACAGGAAATGCAAGTGATGTCCATAGAAAACAACCCCATGCAATAATCTCTAACATACAACAATTCACACATAATAAATCCAAATAAAATCAAACGAATCTGGTATATCCCATCTGTTTGTGGAGTCTCGGGATAAGATGTTTTTCATGAAGACCCCAAAGTGCAAATCTCACCTAAAGCAAATATTATCATCTTTATAACCCAAAGATTTCTATGGTTTGACCAGTTGCTTATACAAAACAGTCAACATAAACACAGCTTTCCAACTGTTAAAATTAAACTACTGAAAATTCTCCAACTACTCCTATCTTCTCCATAACTATACATGTAATACCACTATGCATGATTATTCAAATTCAACATAGCTTAAGCTTCCAAAAGACTTGATACCCCTTTGACTTTTTAGACAGGAAGCAATGACATGAGAATAACCATTTTATTGAAATTCAGCAGGAAAAAAAAAGCCTTTTACCTCAAATGTAGCCTGCCTCAGATGTAACCAAGTGTTAGGAACTTCCCATCAAGAAACAATTGCTACTGCCCGAGCTGCCCATAGCGAAAGTAGCATCACGAACAAGAAATTTCACATGACGAGTGCCAAGAAACTCCAAAATCTCAAGACACTCATGCCAATCAGATTCACACACCAACAACACCCATTCCTCTTCATCGTCCTTGTACTTGAGCTGGAACGTCCCTGTTTGTATCTTAAACCTCTTTGCAACTTCTTCGTAAAGCTGAAACCACCCGGATGAAGGTTCATACTTAAACCTAACTGTATCTTCTTTGTATGTAGCCTTTACAGTAATTTTTGATCCTTCATCCCCAAACAACATCTCTGCTTTCGGATTTTTCACACCATCGAAGCTCGGAGAGCTTGATGAACTACCATTCATCATTGAGCCATTTGACGATTCAGTCATGCCTGAAGAACTAGACTGGTTATGCTCATCAATGATGTCTTCACCAGTATCCATACCATCACCAGCAGCCAAGGAACTCGAGCTCTGAGAAACAAAATGACGGTTAGACGTCTCTACTTTCAATTGACCATCAATTGGACTCCATCTGCTGCATCCTTTAAGAGAAGGTGTTGAAAATGTCCAAGGCATGGCGGCAGCCATTTTCAAACTATCACTAGAATATTCACCTATAGAAGTTGTAATAGGAATGCTATTAGACAATCTTAATTTGTCTACACCCATGTAACTTTCATCCTCCAGTTTCACTGTAGGATTTTCGCTATTAAAACATGATGATGATGGTGGAGGATGCGGTGATGCACCTTCTGTGGCCAAGTCGATGTTTCTGTCGCAAGGGTTATTATTGGAAACCATTGAACTTTTTTGTGCATCGACATCTTGGATGACAGAGCCTGCTGCTACAAGACCACCTGTTGTAGGGTCAAATTTCAACCCTCCTTCTACACCCTGTACAGAGTCCAGCACCGTCTGTATCTTCTTTAAGGAACGGTTTACCTTGTTTATCTTCCGTGATGGCCATCTCGAGATACCATGTTGTCTGCAGATCCTTTTCAGCGTGGTAGGACAAACTACAAAAATAACAAAATTCAACTATTGTATATCATCTAAAACATAATTTCTAAAAGTTGTGCATAAATAATATGATAAATACAATGCAAGATATTGATACCAATAACATGCCCCGCACGGCCGCACCAAGCAACTTGAATGAACTCTCTATAGCAGACAATGATGTTTCTATTTCCTTTTTTCTACTATGGTATCCCTGGCACCTCTGGCCTAACTCGAGATTTCAGGCCATCCAACCAACGGTATAGCCACTAAGGAGTTGATCAGGCCTAAATCTTACCCACTACACTAACTCCGAGGGGTTGACAATAATTTTTCTTACCACAAAAAGTTGATTGCTTAAGTACCTCACCATTCACTACTATGAAAGCGACATAATATCCATATTGCAAGTTTGTACCTTTGTTTAACTTAGAAAGGTTAACAATGATGTATCTAACCAGAAGAATTTACGATACGAGTGTTTCGTCGTTACATTGACCTTTATACTGTGTGTTAAAGTTATTTCTAAATGTGATTCGGAAGGAATGGAGAGAAGTCAAAAGGATACATAATCTTGAACTTGGGAAAATTTTAGGTGATTTTCTCCAAAAACTTCCCTCCCAAATATGGGATAATTTGGAGAGAAAGGAATGACAAGGTTTTATATCATGAATCATTTAAGGGAATTACAATTATTATTGTTAGCTCATGAACCGACACATTTCATATTTTTAGAGCCTATTCTATGGGAGGAAAATTACAATTTGGTTTTTAAAAAATGACTCCTAGAAAAAAGGTAGCCACTATGAACTAAAGCTCCTCGATTTCACAAGGGTTGGGTTGGAAAGTCTTAGGTGCAACCTTTCTCTTAGATTGTGCAAAGTGGTTGTTACCACTATTCGAACCTGTGAGCTCCCCTAAAACAAATTATAAAAAGTTATTATGTATAGCCAAGAGTGAATTACATTTTTCCTCCTTGTGGCTTGATGCTTTTAAGGACCACGTGCCTACTTTTAAAAAATTAACGAGTTGTGTCCCTGTGGCTATGGTTGCATTTTTTTCAACAAGTTGGGTTCCCAATGCAACCATAGGGACTCTCGTTTATTTATTCAGCGATCCGATTCGTTAAAGAACTGCAACCACAGGGACCTAGCTTGTTAAAAAAAACTACAACCACAGGACCCAGCTTGTTAAAATATGCAATGCAACCACAGGGGCACGTTTTGTCAATTTTTCAAAATAGGGCTGGATCCGTTAAGAACACCAACCCACAGGGACGAAAAATGTAATTCACTTGGGCAGTATTGACTTTCAGTTAACGGAAATAGATTATAGCATTATTTGTTGGGTTCCCTAGGCTCTGCCTTGCAGATGGTCACATCTAGAACAAGTCTATTGAATGGATTTTATGTTCAATTTTTAAGTTCGATCAATTGCCAGTTTCAGAGTATTACCATAGTTATAATCAACAAGACCCATATGAAGGTGGAATCATACCTCCAATGCTTTTAGCAGCATCCTTAAGGCTCCCAGAAAAATATTGCTGTAGAACGCTTAAGCTAACATTCTTCTCTGCAGTACTTCGTTTTTTCTCTGATTGTTTCCTTGATCCACCAACCTTCTGCAAAGCAACACAGTATTTTAGTATGTCTTGCACAACCAGTAAATAAAAATGTCCTCTATAAGTAAGGCGCATGTTCACACTGACCAAGTATAAATCAATCAGATGCATACTACAAAGAGCCTGATAGATTCTTCCTGTTTGAAGTAGTCCATCTCCATCTTGGACATTAGAAAAATGAATGTCCTAAACAAAAAGAGAAGGCATCCGCTGCTCTTGGTAAAGATGATTCAGGTTCAGAGGCTGATCTGTTTCTTTCAGTAGTTGACTCTAAAAGTCAGCAAGATGAGTGGATGCTTGACTCCGGGTGTTCGTTTCACATGACACCGAGTAAGGCCTGGTTTGATACTTATGAAAAGGTTGCAACAGGAAGTGTTTTAATGGGGAACGACGTTCAGTGTAATGTTGCTAGAATAGGTTCGGTAAGTATCAAAATGCACGACAGGTGAGAACTTCGGTTGATGTTCGTCACGTACCTGATTTGAAAAAGAATTTGGTTTCTTTGGGAGCCTTAGATTCCAAAGGTTTCAAGTACAGCTGTGAAAAAGGAGTACTTCGGGTCTCTAAAGGTGCATTAGTGGTGATGAAAGGAGCCAAGAAAGGTACCTTGCATGTGCTTGAAGGCAACACGGTTGTTGGGTCAGCATCGCCAGCCTTTAGTTCTGATAAAAACAAGTCAGATTTGACACTCTTGTGGCATACGAGACTGGGGCATGTTAGTGAGAAAGGCATGCTCATGCTCAGCAAGCAAGGACTTCTTGGAGGTCATAGAGTTGCTGAACTAGGCTTTTGTGAGCATTGTATCTTTGGAAAACAAAGGAGAGTGAGTTTTTCAAAGGCTGTCCATAATACCAAGTCTACTTTGGACTATCTACATGCTGATTGTTGCGGTCTTCACTCTTCACAGGGTCCTCCTCTTGGTGGTGGCCGTTATTTTCTCTCAATTGTTGACGATTACTCTAGGATGACATGGGTGTTTATCATGAAACATGAGTGAGTGATGAGTTGTTTAAGGAGTTCAAATAATGGAAGGTTCTCACTGAAAATCAAGTTGGGAAGAAGATAAAAAGGTTGCAAACTAATAACGGTTTGGAATTTTTTTCGAATGAGTTTGACTGGTTTTGTTAAGATGAAGGAATTGCAAGGCACCGAACGGTTAGACGCACTCCACAGCAAAATGGAGTGGCCGAAAGGATGAATAGAACGCTGCTAGAAAGAGTTAGATGTGTCCTGCCAAATGCAGGACTGTCTAGAGATTTTTGGGCTGAGGCGTTAAACACGGTTTGTTACCTGGTGAATAGGTCTCCGGCAACAGCAATTGGATGTAAAACCCCTATTGAAATGTGGTCCTAAGCCAGCTGATTGCATGAATTTACGGGTGTTTGGTTGTCCTTCATACTACCATGTGATTGAAGGAAAGTTGGAACCAAGGTCAAAGAAGGGGTTGTTTATGGGATATGGTGCTAGAGTAAAAGGGTATAGAATCTGGTCACTTGATAAAAAGAAAGGTGATTCTCATTCGTGATGTAATATTTGATGAAGGAAGTATGTTGCGTGACGTACGGTGTTCGTCTACTTCATCTACTTCAAAAGACCAAGAGGAGAGGATCTCCGAACAGGTGGAGCATTTGTTAAATGATTTTGATGAGGGTGAGAATGTTTCTGGATAGCGCAGTAACATGACTTAAACAGGAACACCAGCCTATGGAATTTCTGTCCATAGCATTAAACAAGCCCCGAAGACAAGTTGGTAGGCCGATTCGGTATGGTTTTGATGACGTTACAAGTTGCTGAAGAATTGGAGTTCTTTGAGCCATCTATTTGTAGAGAAGCAATCACAACAAAGGAGGCTGATGTGTGGATAGCAGCCATGAGTGAAGAAATGGAGTCCCTCCACAAGAATAGAACTTGGGAATTGGTGAAATTACCTCAAGGCAGAAAAGTTGTGACCTGTAAGTGGATTTTTAAGAAGAAAGAAGGGCTGCTAGGAGCTGAAAATGTGAGATTTAAGGCTCATTTGGTGGCTAGAGGTTATAGCCAAGAGCAAAGGGTTGATTATAATGAAATCTTCTGACCAGTGGTGCGTCATACAACCATTCGAGTGCTGTTGGCACTAGTAGCACAACAAAATTTGGAGCTGGAACAGTTGGATGTTAAAACAGCGTTCTTGCATGGAGATCTTGAAGAAGAAATTTATATGAGTCAACCGGAGGGATTTGTGGTTCAAGAAAAGGAAGATTATGTTTGTAAGCTCAAGAAATTGCTTTACAGGTTGAAGCAATCTCCGAGGCAGTAGTATAAGTGATTTGACAGCTTTATGGTGAAACATGGTTTTAATCGAAACCCTTATGATTGTTGCATATATCATAAGAAAGTAGCTGATGGTTCACGTGTGTATTTGCTACTTTATGTGGATGATATGCTGGTAGCAGCTAGAGATATGGCTGAAATTAAGAGGCTGAAACAACTCCTTAATTCTGAGTTTGGTATGAAAGATTTGGGGGCTGCTTAAAAGATACTTGGGATGACTAGTTCGAGACAGATCTAGACATAAACTTTTCTTGTCATAGAAAAGTTACATTTTGAAGATACTTTCTCGGTTTGGTATGGCTTCGGCAAAGCCTTTGAGCACTCCACATCTGCAAATTTCAGGTTATCGGTGGCTTTGGCTCCTCAAACAGAAGTTGAAGTGGAGTATATGAGCAGAGTTCTTTATTCAAGCGTTGTGGGAAGTCTTATGTGTACTAGGCCCTGAAATAGCTCATGCCATTAGTGTCGTTTCGTGCTATATGGCTTGTCCAGGAAAGGAACATTGGGCTGCTGTAAAACGTATTTTTCGGTATCTTAAAGGTTCAGCTGAGGTGGGTCTCATTTATGGAGGAAAAGGAGACGCTTTTGTTGTTGGATATTCAGACTCAGATTATGCAGCTGACCTTGACAATTGAAGATCATTGACGGGTTATGTGTTCACTGTTGGAGATGCCTTAGTAAGCTGGAAAGCAACATTACAACCATCAGTTGCTTTATTCTCAACAGAGGCTGAATGTATGGCACTTACAGAGGCTGCAAAGGAAAGAATTTGGCTGAAGGGTCTGCTTGAAGATCTTGGATTTCATCAAGATCAAGCTGTGATTTTTTGTGACAGTTTAAGTGCTATTTGTCTTGCGAAACATCAGGTGCATCATGAAAGAAGGAAGCATATAGATGTTCGTTATCATTTCATACGGTCAGAAAGAAGTGTTAAAGTGAAGAAAGTGAAGACTGATGATAACCCAGCTAATGGACTTACTAAACATGTTTCTTTAAACAAGTTCAGACATTGTTTAGGTCTCCTAAACATTGATAACTGGAAGTAAAATCTTTGTAGAATTAATGTCAAGGTGGAGATTTGTCAAGTGGTGTGACTTTAGTTCTAGTAGACTTAGTTTAGTTAGTTTGTTATTTTCTTTTTTCCTTTTCTGTTTAGCCTATAAATAAGTGGGTCATGTTGTAAACACTTCACATTTTTCTCATCTAATAAAACTCTCTGCCTCGTGCATCCATATTCTCTAAAAGGATTTCTAGTAATTTCTTAACACAGTATGTACATGAAATTCTACAAGTCCCTCAGAAATTCCCTTTATATGAAGAGTTTCACGATGGTGATCCTATCCTCGGCAATTACAGCATTGTTGATCTAAAATTTTAGAAAAATTTGCTGTTGCTTCTCCCTAAAGGCTTTGATGGTCATGAGTACTGCGCAATTGTAAATTTCATTGGGAAGAGATTAAAAAAAACAATCTCAGGGAGCTTGCTTAAGACCACAAAATGACCAACTCAACCAACAAACTCTACAAGGCTCCTCCTAAAACACAAGACCAGTTTCCTAATCCATAGATATCCCTAAGAACAGCATGAAGACATGCATTTTTTTGGTGTCTTTATATCAAGCTGATGCAAGGGCAAACGATTAACAGTTGCATGAGCAATCACAACCTAATACAACTCATGTCATTTGGCTACCAGACTCAAATATCATTTCATAATACTTCCAATACATTTAAGAGTAGCTTTAGCAACCTATCTCGGTTTCGGTCAAGTAAGAGATCAATTAAGATTGAGCTCCATCCAGAAAGGAAGTTCAACAAGATCCCAAGTGCCGTTCTCTTCAACAGAAAACATTTCACCTCATGCATGTAAGACATTAATCCAGGTAGGACCGGTGAAGGGGTTCTTTGGTTATATTACCTTCTATCAGATTTTTTTTTTAAATTCATGACCTTCTAACAGGTTTGAGAATGTTACTGCTTAACAGAATGAATGCTTAGAAATCTGTCAGAAGGTCATGGTTTTGAAAAGCACTTGTCAGTAAGTCATTTAGCTACATAAACCCAATAAAAGATAGATTGTCGAAGAGGAAAGAAGCAGATGCCCAATCCCTATATGAAGTTTGTATCTAGCTGTTAAAGTGTCCTAAGTGGAGAGAGCAGGACAATGAAGCATACAATACCACAAGAATAGAAGATGTTAGACTTTGAGGAGCCTGGTTATCAAAGGGAAAAGGAGCAGATGCACGGTTTTTAATGCAAAGTCCTCCTGCTAGTTGTTGAAGTATCCAGTCTGAATCCTCGATTTTAGTATTTTTACTGGTATTATTATAATTAGTTCAATAACATTAAATATATATTTAGTAAATAGATCTATTTTGTTAGATGTATATTCGACAGATGATGAGTACAATTCAGGGACAGTTGATTTTGATTGATCAAGTGGGGCTTTCTTCCGTTCTGTCCGTATGTGTAATTGCAAGGACCAAAAGCATTGAGGTCGACAGTCATCCTATCTGGAATCAAATTCTAAGCTCTTCACAAGATTACCTAAATGTGCAATACTAAAATGAGAAGGAAGATTTTAGTGACTGGATCAAACTGTATGAATCGATCGAACCCTCTTCACTACCCAGAAATGGTACAAGCAGTATGCACTATGCTAAACTGAATCCTTGCTAAGCATACCATACCTTCTCCTGGAATGATGTCCAAAGCAACATTCACTCGTGGAATCTCCATGACTGCTCATAATGATGAGTACAGAAAAAGAGTAAAACTGAAAATATACCTCAGGAGCAAACCAAAATATCGATAAACTACAGGGGCCACAAATGAAAAACTATCCATTGATAGGTTCCAAACTAAAAAGATTTCCCAAACCCTTGTCCTTTCCTTTGTTTTGCCCTTCATAGCAACTAGAGAAATCTTGAGATGATTGGTGATGCAAGAAAGTTACAGAAAATGATGACTCCATTTCTTACTTACCAGGCTGGGATATAATCWAAGGTAAGGTTGCTTTCTATGTAGACAGGAGAGCCTAATCTGTGTACTAGCTCTATCTATCAAGGAAGAAGGGAGGTGATTTCAAAGCAAAGCATTAACTAAAGGATGTGTTGATTTTTTTCTTTTTGGAAATGCCATAAAGCGCAAACAGAGATCCATGATACAAAAACCAAAATAAGAATTGAGAAAAAAGATATCGTGATGTAAGTTTACACCAGGACTACCTCACGGTTCAATTGAACCAACATACAAGTAACTCAAAACAAAAAAGAATGACCTAGTAAGTAGACAAAAAAAGCACTTACTAATTGCTCCAAGCAGTCAACCAATAAAAATTGAGATATGGTTTGCCCTTGCAGCCTCGAATTTGGTAACCTAGAACACTAAAAATGGCAACAAGTGGCTGAAAGCAAAACAAGAAAGAAAAAGAAAACAAATCACCTAGCCTAAGATGATGCCATTGCTAAGATAAAGATATGAACGTCAAAGACCTTCATATGGCACCAGAAACAGGGATACTATTACATCCATTCGATCAAATACTTACACATTGACCTGGCCACCAAATATGTCAATGAAGTAGAGCCGTCATCATAGCAGCAGAAGCAACGATGATACTGGAGGACTGCAAAAACCTTTGTGGTTGTTGCAAGGCAGTGCACTTGTCAGACATAAGTCCGAGCCCATCAGTCAGATGCAACCATGGCAGCTGGCAGAGAGGGGCTGCTGTTGTTTTGTAGGTGGGGCTAGGGTTTGTACATCTTGGATATGAAAAGAACAATTTTTAAGAAGCAGAGACATTTTTTATCATAATGAGGATAGAATACAGGGAGCCAATGAAAATAAAATCTTGCAGATAATAATACAGAGTTCATATTGATCCTATATCTTCACAGGCTCCATTGTGGATCCTTCACACTTGAGTTTGACCCTTGATATTTAGACTAGTAATTTTAAACAGTGCAACAATGACTCAAAATGGTATTAAAAAAAACCAAAGTATCTAGATTCTAGAAGCAAGCATAAAAATGATACAAGCTCCTAAACCTCCGTGAGATTCGCATAGTTAAAATAACAGATTATAGAAGGAAGTCCAGACAAAGCATCTTTCAGAGAACACGGCTGTTTAGACCAACTTGATAAATATTTATAAGGATAAACAATATGTCTAAAGCCTAGATAATCTGAACTTCGGGTGTTACCTAGACCTCCAAGAGGTTGGCCAATTGGAGAATGAAGTCCAGACGAAGCATCTTTCAGAGAGCATGCTCGTTTAGATAACTAGACCCAAAAAACTCGATACGTATACGCAAGAATAGCATATGTGCCTACAGCCTAGACAATCTCAACATCTGATTAATTATGATTTTTATTTTTATGATGAAAAGAAATAAATGAGTCATTAACACAAATAAACAACAATGACCATCATTAATATATAAAATAATAAAACCCGTCAATGGCAATTACAAGATTCATCTGCCGAAGAGATTGTAGGTCAAGAACCATCTGCAGGGGTAAAGATTTGTTTACGAAAATTAGCCAGGTCCCACAGTGAGGCCAGCTTATGCAATTAGTCGTTCTTGTAATACTGAGATTGAGATGATGGCCTAGTCCTTCCTCGGGCAAGTCATAGGTTCAGCTCTAATCCCCACACCCTTTCCTAGACCATATCAGAAAATTTCCTCGACTCATTATGTCATAACGGACACAATAATTGCTTTATGTGCATGCTAATAAATGTGGTTGCCTGTTAGCTAATTGTGTAAAATTCTCTAACTCGCACTTATCGCATTAGTTTCTTACAATTGTATCTTTTATTTGGGTGTGGTATCTCTTTTAAATGTCATTTCAAAATTTCAATTGAATTGTAGGAAATCAATCTCAGTGTGATTTATCATGCAGTATGCTGATCCTTAAGAGGTTAGTTACCTAAAATATGAGGTCAGATTTATATTATTTCGATCCTGATTTATAGCAGCCTATCAAGGCCATAGCCAATATGTATTAGATATAGCAACCCATCTATATATCACTTGGAGGCAGTAAACTGCAGTCTAAGATACTTACAGCAGGATCTTGGGGAAGAAGTCAATGAGACCTTGGAAGTTTATGCTGATGTTGATTGGGTTGGATCTTGTAACCAAAAATCAACATGTGTTGCTACTTTATTCGAAGAAGTCTAGTGACATGGCTGATAAGGGGGCAACACAAAACTCCTGCACTTGAAAGGTCATTAATGTTTGAAAGGTAGTTGAGGATTAACCACCACCTAAGTGTTCACTTAGGATAAGGTTGACATGCCACACAAAAGGCCTTCACCTCTTGTGATAAGTGGGAACGAAATTGAGGACACTCAAATTCAGAATTGTTATTCAAAACAAAGTGTCTTACAAACGAGCTTCAAAGGGGTTTTTGTAGGCAAATCAAGCCCCTCTAAAAGGAAGGATCCTAGAAACTTAGGGAACTAAATAAAACCAACTTACTAAGGGAACTTGAATAAGAAACTAACCTTCTAGGACAAGAAGATAGAATCAAAAGATCCTAATCAACTTAGGAAACTAATAACCTAATGTATTAAGGAAAATTTACTAAAATCTAATATTCTAGAAAAGATAATAAATAAATTGAACACCTCTTGCTTATTCAATTTAAAGTTTCTGTAAATCAGATTCTATCGGAATCATGTGTGACAGCTGACAACAGGTCAGCAATTGCAATTACCAAAACTCCTGTCTATCATGGTTGAACTAAGCATATAAAGATAACACTTGATCAATGAGAAAATTGAAAGCAAGACAATATCACTCAACTATGTTCCATCTAGGCAACAAGAAGTAAACATCTATACTAAAGCATTTCCGTGGCCCAATCTTACTAAACTAAGTACTATGCTTCGAGGTATCATATAACAGTAAAACGATTATTTCAGATCTTAGTTTGAGGGGCAGTGTAGGAAATCAATCTAGCAGTGTGGTTACTTGCATCATTTTGTAGAGTTGATTCTTAGGAGAATAGTTGCTTAAAATACTTGCATTTTATATTAGGTAAGATTGATATTATCTTGATCCTCTTTTATAGGAGCCTATCAAGGCCAAATGTATATAAGATATTATGTGCATATATACATGTTTAGTCATATGTATATGATGAGAAGCATCTTTCACATGTTTCATATAGCTTCAAAAAGGAGGGTGTGGTGGGACCTCAAGTAGGTTATATCTGCTTTGGTAATGAAAATATTAGTTTTTTTTTTGGGGGGGGGGGGGGGGATAAGTCATTTAAGTCCAAAATAGACAAGGAACTGCAACAATAAGGAAGACCCAAAAACATAAATTGTTGCAGGGCTAAGGGAGTAAGAAATATGACATAAACTAAAGAAAAAAATAATATTACCTGACCAGGTGGGCGTGCTCCTATCCTAGCATCACTTGAGTCAGTTGCATTTACAGAAACTTGATCAGCAGGAGTTGAACTTCCTTCCACATATTTCTGCTCAGAGCAGCTCCTAGATAACTCCACTGGCAGCCTACTTTCATCTAAACCCCTTTTGAATCCAATATCAGATCCCCCAACACCAGATAGTTCTGCATCAGAAACTGTCCTCAAACTCCTACAGATCCTTTGCATCGTACTGGATAGGTTGTTTAACAAGAGTTGCTGCTCTGTAGACCCTTTCATGTTGACAGGAAGAAAGAACTCCAATATATAGTCATCATCACCAGTATAGGTACTCCTCAGCCTGATTGCCACAGCAGCATTCAAGCCATATTTACGAGCATGCTGGACAAGTGGGTACTCACTTATATCGTACTCCTTTACATCAGGGAAAAAGAAAGGATGATTCGACTGAAGTGCTTTTCCAGCAATACCCTGTCCTTCCTCAAGATGATGCTCACTACAAGCTTGCACAAAACCTTGCATCTCTCGTTCATTAACATAACAAGCATCAGTCTCAATACATAGTATACATTTCTCTGCTGAATTGACATTACACCCTCCAACACGTACTTTTATGGTTTCATCCCCAACTCCTTCATTGTAACTACATGGTATCCATGTTAGAGCAACAGGCAATCTATGTGCATGGCATACAGCTCGAAGAACATCTGTTATTTCACCTAAAGCAGCCATTTGATTTTTCGAGAGGCACTACAAAAATGATCCAAAAGAAAAAAAAATCATTCCAGAAACTTAATATGCAAAAGTCATCTCTGCAAAAACATATCAAACTTGGACCCTTCAACAATCAGCTTTATAGAGGTAAGACATGCCAACTTACCGTGGGCTCGTTCACTCATGAGAAGGGACCAGAAGATAAATAAAAAAGAAGGATGCATACTGGCCCACACAAGCTTATTAGCATAAACTCAGGGTTAGTGTTTTTCCATACCACATACCCATGAAAATTCGAGAAGATTGAGGATTCCACAACTAGTGTATCAACTATAGAATCAATGGAATCCACTATTCCTTTCATCATTTCAACATTTTTATCTATAACATGCTTAGAATCAGAAAGCAGCTTGCTTATCTAGCCTATGCTCACTGGAGCACACATTTACCCATGATCAACTGCCCAATGAAGTTTAAGGTGTACTTAAATAAAAATAGCAGGCTTCAACCAGTAATAGGAGGAATAAATATATAAAGTTTGATAACAACAGGAGAAACTGAACTGAACATCACATTGAAGTTGCCATTTTTTCAATCATTCTCTTGGAATATATAAGAATGTCAGTTTGAGTTCCAGCTGCTCATAACATAACTACATTGTTTTGCTTTGATCCTGGATAGCATTATATTTTTTTACAAAGTTATGGCATTACATGCAAACACAGACCTGAGCTCCTTAATCAACCTATCAGAGGGAGAACACATTTCAAAGAAGTTATCCAGATTTGAACTGTGTCATACTACATTTCACCCCCTCATTTGCACTCAAAGTGGGGTTTAGTTGGGTTTCTTAAGAAGTGCTACATGAGCTAGTTGAAGGATATCTTATATACAAAGGAAATCTATTTTAACATTGTAATAAAAAGTATCCACAAAAAAAAATCCAGCCCTATATCGCATACCTGCTTATAAAGTCGAGGAGGTGTAACGCTCTTCAAATTCACAGTCTGCAAGTATAAATAAGCACAGAGGTTAACACAAATAAATGATGGCTGCAAGATCATTTTACAATACAATAGATTTATGAAATTTTCAGATAACACAGAATCACGAGACGGTGTTATATGAGTTTGTCACCACATTAATAGCACAAAGTTGACTGATGTCAAACTTGCCCATACATGGATGCTTGGTGCTTGTATGCATACTTATTACATTCTTCCTTAACTTATTTATGCGGCAACCAAGCCAAGAGAAGTGCCTCGATGAAGAAAAGAGAAGGAACAGTGAAAGAGGAAAACTAGACATCCACAACTATGCAACAAACAGCACCATGTTCATACAGAGATGCGGATGGATTTAAATATTTGAATACACATACACACACAAATGTGAAAGAAAAACTAGTAGTTTAGATTTATATATTTCAGCAACCTCAACTTCTCAGATATGGATCATACAAAAATAACTTCAAGAAATCCATGATTATAAATTTAAACTCACTTGATTACTTTAAGTAAAGGCTTCTTAACAAAAAGCATTTTGCGTAACCAAGATTAGACATCTTTCTGTTCATATATAATTTAAAAAAAAAAAGATCAACAGGATCATTGGTTTGCTAATGAATTACAGTTTCAACAGCAAAAAACAAAAAAGAAACCACTAATAGGGAACAGTACTTTCCTATTAATAACAACAAGATTAAAGAGGATTACCTCAAGGGCACGGCAAACATGATCCATCTCCTCACTGAAATCAGATTTCTCTTTCACTGTGACAAGTTCCAGTACCGCACAACAAGATCTCTCAAAGGAGTCATCTTCAAACACAGGTAAGGCAATAGATCCACGGACTTCATGGTTGCGTGCATGATCTATGCGCAAGTACTCTCCTTTATTGTAGTGGGCTACATTTGAAGTCCATTCTGGAACTTTCGAGGTAAAAACCCGGCCAGGAAGTCCTGGAAAATTACCAGGTTTCACTTCGGCAGAGAAGGTGAATCCTCTAGACACTTCACGGTATCCAGCCAACATCTGGTCAAGCAAGTAGGGCTGCTCAGAAGTGCTTAGTATATACTTATCACCTTCCTTAATGGGAACCCAAACTTGGGCCAAAATGCCTGCTCCAGAGGAGTCTTTGAACAAAGACAACGCTTTCAGCATTTTTTCAGCAAGCGATCGTACTGGTGGCCTATGAATAATACCATTTCCAGTGTCCTGAATGTTTTTCTGTTGACAAGAATTGCCACCTCTCCCCACACCTATGTCATTTTCATCAACAGAATTCAATGGCAAGCTGTACTGGGTGTCTATGGTAGGAAGCACTGCTCTTTCTCCATTAATGAAATTTTGAGTGACTTCGCCATCAGTGGGGAGAAACCCGCCTTTAACTTGTTCTGTTAAGTTCACATAATCAAAGGGCGTGTAACCGGCTGATAATGCGAAAGATGTGACCATCTGATCAGCTGCTGAAGGACTTGTGCACCATCCAGCATAAGTATCAAAATTCATGAGCCCTGAAAAACCGTTAAACGGATCGTCTGGCCTTGTAAAACCATCAAATGACGCGGAATTATCCATCTGAGCTCTGGGAGAAGCCCAGAAACTCATCGCCTTATCTTTTGAAGGGGAAGGGTATTCCATTTTGAAAGTTGTTCACCACCAAACTAGACTTCCTTCATCTGTTATTTGGGTTTTGTGTCAACAACAATGCCATCCCAACACAAAAAGAAAACATCAAAACGATTCTCTCAATCTCACCACTCACACCAAGTCTTAATCTGTGTTAAAAACTCAAATATAACCAATCCACAGACAAAAAATCAGTTACTAATCAAGAAACCCCTTTATATATTCCCTTTTTTTTCTGTGGATAATAAAACAGGCTAAGTAATTTCTAAAGATTTTACAAGGAAGGTTGAATGAAACTAACAATAAGTCGGAAACTAACCTGGGATCAAACAAATTGGTATCTCCTAGTTGCAAGTTGCCAAAAGCCATAGAAGTTCAATTCAATAACACAAATCCAGTCTCGGATTCATTAGTTTATTGGCTGAAAAGTCCAAGAAATGACCAAACATACAACCAATCAATGAAATAGTACTCAAATCGAACAGAAAGAAATTGTTTATTTGTTGGGTAGCAAATACCAAATTGTGGAACCCTAAACCGTCAATGAATCATGTATCTGCAACAATAGCTTCCAAAACTACCGACCTAAGTATCTGCGGGAAGTTGACAAAGAAGCGAGTTGAAAACCTCGAAACTATGCGAACCCCAGAGTCGAAGGATAGCCTTGAAATAGTTACGGGAATTGCGAAATGCGGTGGTGTGCGTTCCAAAATTAGAAAGCGGACGTAGACAAAAGGTTTTACCGTCTCCTATAAACGGAATTACGGCAGATTCGATCTAGCCTCTCTCCTGCTCTCATCACTTTAATATCTATTATAAAATACTAGTCGTGCAACTGCGTAATACGATCGAAACCATAAATTTTAACGATTTTGAAGTTGCACTGGTTTTATAAGATAAGATTTAACGATGATATAGGTTACACTTGGTCTTTACATATTAATACAATTTGAATAAATAAGAGTTATGGTTTCAATTACAGACTATCGATGAAAAAAATTGTATGACAGTTTAAAATCCAATATATTTAAAATCCAATATATTTAAACGACTCCACAAATGTATTCGATTTACACCAAGAACAAAGAACCAAGAAACTTGAGTTTTAAGATAAACACACAAAACCAATAAAGAAAACTACAAATTTGACAGATCATAAGTAATGAAAAGATAAAAAAAATAGGTTTTAGAATGAAATTTCAACTGCTTACCCTCTTTCTTGTCCAGAAACTCAGATTAAGATTGAATTAATACATATATATATATATATATTCAAAAAACCCAAGAACATATTATACAGTGCAATTTGGACAGCCTAACCCCAAAATATATAGTATATATATAAATAAATAACTATAAAAGTATAAATCGTAAATACTAAAAATATTTTTTCACAGTATATATAATATATAATAATATAATTAAGTCAAAAACTATTCAATATTGAACTCATTTCGAATGTATTAACGAGACGATTATAATGTTGTAACTTGTTAAAATAAAAATCTATTTTTTAAACATGTTTTAATTTATATACGATTATGTATGTTAATTTGATAAAGGTTTAAAATGAAACATTTAAAAGTAAAAGACATAAAGTAAATTAATTAATTAATTATAAGGGTATAAAGTGTAAATTTAAAATTATAATTTAAAAAAAAATAGGTTGTAAGAGGGTGAGTGTATGTGAGGAGGGGAGAGGGTGAAAAAGTGAGTATAAAGGGTATTTTGGTTCTTTAATATTTTAAGACTTTTGTTAAATTTGTTTGATAAGACTAGAAGAAAACTCGCGCAATGCAGCGAGACAAATCTCGATTTTAATGTTCTATTTATTATATGTCTTTGTAGATGTTATAATACGATTTTATGTGTTTTTAAGAAAGCAATAATGATTTTATTTTTGAATAAAATATAAATTT